GGGGGAGAGCAAGGAGCAGGTAACTGGAGTGGCTCCAAGGGGACCCTGCCCCCATTGCAGGCCCTCCTGGTACCCCCACAGCTCGACCTGTGGGGTTGGTGGCTGCAAAAACGTTTCCCCAAAAGCAGTTCCAGCTTGGTGGTGCCTCCATGCATCCCATGCCCTGGGTGTCTGTGAGCCCCAGGGACCCTCTTTGGGGTCCTGCGGTCCCTGCCCCTGGTGCCCTGGCTGACTGCCTTGGGCTCAGACCTGTCGCAGTAACGTGGGACCCTTCTTGTGCTCCCCCCAGATTGCAGCCATGCGTGCTGGGCTGCTCTGTGTGGTGCCCCAGCTTGTGCTGGACCTGCTCACCTGGCAGCAGCTGGAGAAGAAGGTCTGTGGAGACCCCGAGATCACGGTGGCTGAACTGCAGAGGTTCAGTAAGTGCAAGAGCCAGCCCAAAGCTGCTCCCAGCACCCGGTGTGGGCAGGGGCCCCCCTCGACAGTGCTCATCCTGTGCACATATCCTGCCCCATGCTGAATCTCTGGCTGTGGTGTGCCTGGGAGCCTAGGGGAGGACGAGCTTGAGGGACCCTGGTCAAGGATGCTTCAGGTTTAGCTGCAACCCACCAGTCCCCACTCTGGTCCCTCTGGTCTTCCGCCGCTGTGGGGAGAGGTGAACAGCCACCCTGTAAACTGGGCCCTCCATTTCTCCACCCACCTTGTGCAGGGTGCCAGCCCCTCTTGGGGTGCCAGGGGCTTGCAAGGGCTCACCGAGAGCAGAGGATCTCCTTCTCTCCTGCCTCCCTTCTTGGTGCTCACAGAAGGATGGGATGGATGTGTCCCATGTTAATTTGCTTTACTGGGACTGTCTAACGAAGCTGTTGTGTATTCTTTGTTGCAGTGACATTTGATGGCTTTTCCTCCGGCGACACCCGTATCCAGATCTTCTTGGAGGCACTCAACAACTTCACCAGCGGTGAGTGACCCTGCTCTTCATGTGCAGCAGGGTGAGCCAGGGGATGGGGTACCACTGCCCTGCACCCTGGAGATGCTCACCGAGTGCTTCCCTGGGAGTCGGCTGGGGTTGTCCCGCCTGGCCCTTTCTGGGATGCTGAGAGCATCCCTTAGCGTTGCACTGTGCTCTGGGCTGCTTCTGCGAGGGCAGACCCTGGCATGACAGCAGCAACTGGGATGGTCCTGTCCCTAACCCTGAGCCCTGAGACCTGTCCTTCCCCTCAGAGGATCTCAGACGCTTCCTCAAGTTCGTCACTGGCCGGAGCCGCCTCCCAGTTGAGATCATTGTCTACCCGGAGAGGTCAAAGTGAGTCCATCCTGCCCAGGCTGGGGTCCCTGTGCCATGGCAGGGTCTGACTGTCTCTCCTTTCTCCCAAGTGTGAACACACTAGACCTGATGCCAGAGGCCTCCACGTGCTCCTGCACCTTCTACTTACCCAACTATTCCTCGTGAGTCTAGCTGGGGACAGGGGATGGGGACGCTCCCCAATGCCTGAGGCTGGTGTTGGGGTCCCGTCCCAGCGTCCTCAGGTCCTGCCCTGGGGGACATCAGGGCGGGTGTGGGGAGGGAAGCATGGGGCTCTCAGTGACCCAGCGTCCCCTGCCAGGGCCAAGGTCTGTGAGGAGCTGCTGCGATACGCCGTGTACAACTGTGCGTCCATTGACACCGACAAGGACACCTGGGATGAATGAGGCACCCCAGGTGGCCTGTGCCATGGGAGCTGCCCACCCCGGGGACACTGGATTCAATAAAAGTGCAGGGTTGGATCCTGCTGTCCTGCCCCAGGCCCTGTCTGTGTCCATGCTCGTCCAGGGCTGGGACTGGAG